TGTAATTTTTCAACAAAGAACAAGAGAACAAATGAGGCCCATAGTAATTCCTGGAAACTAAAAATCTCCAAATTACATTGGCTTCTTTCTTGGGAGTAAAAAATGATTCAACTGTTAATTATTTTTCTGGTAAAGTCTGACTTTTGGAAATCCAGGCTTAGAAATCCAAATGAATAAATGAAGATTTTTATTTCATTGACTTTCCATTGATAGTGAAAAAAAAAATTACCTACCATATCTATCTTTGTGATTACAGCACAGAGCGTAATGCCATTCTTTGAATAATGTATCAACTTGGAAAATGTCACAGTTTCATGTCCATCCATGCCTGGGTCTCTTTCTTGACTGATTGCTCAGTACCTCCAGTACTGTTGCCTCCTTCTTTCTCCCCACAACCTATCAGGCACTAGAGTCCCAAACTCTGTTTTAGAGATGAGAAAACTGAGGCCCAGAGACATTGATTTGCCCAAGGTCATAAAGCTAAGGTCAAAGGCAGGTTGCAAATTCAGGTCTCAATAACTTCAAGACCATCACTCTACCCGCTAAGCTATGAAATTCTATTGTGGGGTAGTGGAAAATAATGGCTAGAACAGGGATATATTTCAGACAGCCTGAAGACCAAAGAAGAGTTTTGATGGGTGAGACAATGGGGATTTCCATCACCAGACCAGAACCATTTCCTTAATGGTTACAGTCTTTGGGATTTTTGTTTGACCCTATACCCAGTGCTTTTTAAACATATTATGGCAATGTGACAAAAAAACATGTAATTAAGTGACTAAAGAAGAAACCTAGAACAACTCTCAGACAAAACCAAGAAAAGTTGTGGGACCTCTTGGTTGCTATGTCTAGTCTGGAGCTAACAGGCCATTCTGAGCCAGCTTCCTAGACTACAGCATTCTGTAGGGAAAGTTAGAGAGCGATATTTTTTAAAAAATACTAGCTAAAAGACACTTTCGGCAAGTTGCACAGATAGTTACAATTATTGGGCGATGGCTAAAGACTTCAAAAAAAAATCTGAATACCTACATTTATAGGATTTAAAGCTGAAAGGGACCTTAAGAAGTCCTCTAATTTAACACCTTTGTTTTTATAGATGAGGAAACTGGATCAAAGGAATTTTTAATTCAATTCAATTAGCATTTATTAAGTACCTACTATGTACCGGGCACAATGTTAGCCATAATGCAGAAAAAGACTAAACCAAAATTGCCTCTACCCTCAAAAATTTTTAGAGTCTACTAATAGGTCCTAGAGGTGGGAAGTAACTTTGCCCAAAGTCCACAGGTAGTAAGCAGGAGAGCCAGTTTTCAAATCTAGGGCTCTTAACTCCAAATCATGTTTCTTTACCCTACACTATACTGCTTTCTTAACAAATTCCCTTAAGTGCCTCTATTTTCATGTCTTAACATCTCTTTCATTCTGCTTATCTCTCCTAGTCTGAGCAACACTCTTACTTATTAATTTAGCTAAACAAGCCAACAAATGGGGCTAACTAATTACCTAAATGCTGACTTCTTCCTGCAGAGCCCATTTAATGCTTCAGGAAAGAAGGGACTCTAATGTTTCTTTTCCTCATTGAGGTTATAGCTCAAAATCTGATTCAATATAATCCTCCATCATCATCATCTTGTTGGTATTTTCCCAAAGCTTAGATTTCCATCTAAGCTACCTGCTGGTGAATTGGTTATTTTAGCAGGCAATTGATTCTTTAACGAGGTAGAAGGAATGCCTTTAGCAAGGTGTTCAGAAAAATCTGAATGCTGAGAGCTCTACTAAATAATAGCATGCATTCTTTGCTGCATTCAGGGGATGATAGTGGTGCCTTTATTCACTGAGGGTCTGGAGGACTTTGCTTGTATGTCTTTATCTGATTGTCTTATAGGTTGTAATGATGTTTTATGTTCAGTCAGATGCCAGGTTACAGCCTGAGGTTTGTTTGTCCTTAAATTAGTTCTGTGCTGCTTTTTCAAATACATGATCCATTCATCAGTCATTGTGTAACTTTCCTGGATCGATTGTGGAGGACAGGCGCTTGATTTTTTTCTATTATCGTTTTGAGTTTCCTTTTGTTCCATATCTATTTTTCTCTGTCTCTGAAGGTTTCTACTTCCATTAAAGTCTATTAGCTTTCAGTATTAGGAAAGAATAAGTATAAATCATACATTATATGCCTAAGCATTTGGCTAAACATCTGTGTTTTTTATAAGAAGTTTGCTTTAAGAGGCACTTGGTTAAAACCGCTATTAGTGAGAGTCATTGACTTTTCCTGTTAGCTCTTGGACTCAGGAATTTGGAATTTAGCTATAAAAATTCCCCTCATTCTTCAACTTGGCAAAATTGTGAAAAGATTATTGGCAGTAGCTAAATGTATACAGTTTCCAAGAAACCTTGCTGACAAATGACTGTTACCAAGTTATTGAAATTCAAATAGTTTCTCTTGGACCTACAACTAACTAAACCTGATTTGCCTCCCACACACACATAGTCATTTGAGTTTTTCAAAAAAATAAGTAGCCTAAAATGCACAGAGCTCACATTTCTGTCTATTTGAGTGACCATCCATATATTTCTTCTTCCTTGAGGCAGTTAGGTGGCTCAGTAGATAACTGATGGACATGGAGTCAGGAATACCTAAGTTCAAATTTGATCCTAATCATTTACTAGCTGTGTGACCCTAGATAAGTCACTAAACTGTTATCTGCCTCAGTTTCCTCAACTGTAAAATGAGGATAAAAATAGCACCTATCTCTCAGGGTTGTTGTGAGGAACAAAGAAAATAATATTTATAAAGTGCTTAGAATAGTGGCAAGCACATACCAAAAAAACTTAATAAATATTTCCTCCCTTCCTTCCCTTTCTCCCCCAAAACAGGATTTAGCTTTTTATGATATCTAAGATATATGGAGACAGAGTTTTCAAAAGAGTGGATCTGACTGAGATTAAGATATTTCTTTTTATATTAAAAGAGCATTTGTACTCTCAGGTCCATAGAATGTCATTCATTTGTCTCAGGAAATCCTATGATTAAAACAGCAAGCATATGTAACTTGCTTGTTCATCAGTTCTTTCACATTCTAACTTCATGTTTGTTTGTTTTTTAATGAACCTATATGCATCCTCAGGTTTCCATGCTGAATCAATTTTTTTAAATGTATTTACTGGGCTATCAGCCTACATGATCCATTGGTATCTATGCAACATCAAAAGAACTTAAAGAAGGTCCTCAGTTTATTGAGTCAAGTCAGGAAAACTTGGGTTCAGATCTTGCCTCTTACTCTTACTAGATGTGTGACCCAGGGCAAGTCATTTAACCTCTATGTTCCTTAGGCCACTTTTTAAAGGATGCATTTCCTAAATTCTAGAAGGTTAACACTTGCAAAAATCACTGAGCCTTCTAGTAGTTGGTATTACTCTGTAAAATTATCAAAGGTAAACTCCAGCCTAGAAGCAGGAAAGTGCTTTCATTTTTGGTTTTTTTTTTTTGTTTTAATTCCTTCCAGCATTATGTTATTGTTTGAGTGCCTGGATTTAGAAAAAAAAAAAGCAGGTTGATTTTTGCCATCCTCAACAGCAGCAACCTTCTACTACAGTCAGATGCAGAAAGCTTTGGGGGTCTCAGTACCTTGAAGAAGTACTGCACCTATGATGGGAAGAGTCTACTTCCTTTATCAACTGAGGCCATATGCCTTGCAAGTTGCCCGTTGTTCCAACTCTTTTTCCTTTTTTCCTTTACCTTATTTCACATAATGATTAAAAAATCTCATATTAGGGTAGAACTTCTTTTATCATACTTTGGCTTTTTCCATCTCTCATACTGAAAATTAATTTGAGCTCCCAAAATCTATTACTCATTGGTACTGACTGCTATGAAAATACCAAAAGAGATTGAATTAATCCTTATACAGGCATGTTGTGGTTGTTATTGTTGTTAGGCATATTTGTTGGCACTGCCTGACTTGAATGTTCTTATACTTTGCTCAAATGTTTTCACTTCTAAAAATAATGCCCTTTGAGTGATAATTCTTCCTCTGTCAGCTCTCCCTCATCATATTGTGAGGACAAGAGTTCTATCTCAATTTGTTTATGTGATTAGAATGCAATATTTCTCTCAGTGCTTTGGCCTTCAACCTCAGTTCTACCTTACAGGAGACAAAAATTCCATCACATAAATTATTTAAGTATCTGAGTATACTAGAGGACTTTCTGTTTTATATTAATGTTTTGTAATATGAGGTTTTAAAAAATGACCAGCCTGCAGACTGCATATCTGATACTGAAAAATTAACAAAAAATATCACTGGAGGGTGTAAAATTCTCATCATAGGCAGGCACTCTTGTTCTTTCCAGTGATGAAGACTTATATGATCAGAAATTTATGAGATTCCCCAAAAGTAGAATAGTTAATTCCTTCATTTTATGGAATAGTCACAGCCTTAACTCACAGTTTCTGTCACTTAAAATCAGTAAATTCAGTCCTACTTTTTTCAGATACTAAACCCATTAGTCTCAACCAACACAGATTTAGACAAATTCTTGTTTAGTTGCCTGGAAAAAACAAAAATATTTTCATGTCATCATCCCTTGGTTCCTAAGACAGAGTAGCCTTCTGAAAAATGTCACATCTCAGACATGTTGCATCTTAGATTGTTTTATCTAGTAGGTATGACAAAATCAGGCTTAGGTGTTGAATCATTGCTATGCATAAATGGAATGTTTATGGACATGTTTATGATTTGCTAATCTGTGCTGTGAAACCATCAGTCTGTTTGCAATTGGTGGGATGGGGAAGGGGGAGAGAGGGAGGGTAAATTTTGTCCAGTGGCTAAAAATTTAAACAAAGGTGTACCTTAGGGGCTCTGTCTCAACCCCGGTACTGGATTGATTGCCTATGATTTCACAATGTCACATCCAACACCAGAGGGCTTCTGTTGAGCAGGTTTTCAGTGATCATGCCTCTGTTTTCTGTTTCTTTGTTTGTGTTCTTATCTTTTCCTCAGGGGAAATCGCTCACATCAAAGAGGTTAACCAGTCTAGTTCAGTCCTATTAAAAAGGATCTACTTGTAGCATGGACCCAGCCTCGAATCATTATACACACTTTGTAGCTCACTAATTCCCTGGATCAGAGGACATTAGACCAAGATGTTGCATGAGCAAAGGACTGGATTTGTTCTCTTTTGTGTACACTAAAGCATTACAGACTCCGAGGGACTCTATCCCTTCTCACTGCTTCCATTTCAAATCTTGTCTGTTCACTTCCTCCTTCATATCAAGCTGGATCTGTCTATTACTTTTCTGCAAGTTCAAGTACAGTGAAAACTTTTTTTTGAAAGCCTCTACTAGACACACAGTTTATTTTAAAAAATACAGTAAATCCCAAACTGGAAGAATTGTAAAAAATATATATTAATAAATACGCAAATGGCATCACATTTATTGAACAATAAATTAGCACAGAAAGTTTCATTTCACTTATGTATTTCCAGTCAAAAAAAAAACAAACTGTGTCTTTGTCTGTTGTCTGTACATTCTCTGTTAATGTTTCCTGCATTTATTTTTATACCATATTTAAAAAAGAAACACCTTTTACTCCAAATGTATTAAAGTTGGTCCCTTCTCTGTAAATTTGTGTATGTTTCTATTGCTGTTTTATCTTTCATTAAAAGATGCAGAATCTCGTTCCTTTTGTAACCTTGGGCTTCAGTTTTAAACTGGCAAACCAAGTGTTATTAAAGTGTCTCTCACTGAGCTGCCCTGGTTTCCATCAGGCCACAGCAAATTTGCATTGGATCAGGGAGCCTCAAAGGTAGATGTCAGATGTATTTGTCAGCTTTCAAGTTCTCATGTTTCAGTGACAGGAAAAAAAAGTCACATGTGCTCTCAGTGAATGGTGTAAATTAGATTGTGTTTATAAACAAGCAAAGAAAATAACTTACTATTTCAATTTAATTCAAGAATCATTTATTTACCTATGACGTCCCAGACATTTTGCTAGACAAACAAACAAAAACAGTTCCTTCAAGGAGCTTGGTTTCTCTTTGAGGGAAGGAGGTAGGACACATACACAGATAAGTAAACATAAGATGTAATTTTTTTAAAAGTAAATATAATATAATTTGAAGGAGTGTGGAAAGCACTAACAACTGGGGAAATCCCACTCAGGATGTGGTTCTTAAGCAGAGTATTGAAGGGAACTACTATGTGAGACATTAAGTGAGGAGAGAAAACATTCTACACAGTGTAGCGGAAATGGCAAAAGGAAAATCCCTCCGCTACAAAAAGAAGATACAGAAATAGAAAATGGAACAGGACGCATGGTGAATATCAAGGAGACCACTTTGCTACTTAGTTCTTTGGAGTTTCATTTATCCCTCATAACTGGTGACTTGGCATTCAGAAGAGCAATTATATGAACTGACAAATGCAATTATGAATTATGAAGAATTATGGAGAATTATGAAAGGATCAGAATCAGGGTTCTTGCCCCACTGTTTCCCACTGAAATCATCCCACTTTCTGTGACCCAATATTATCCTACCACATAGGCTGTGAGAAGGAAGCAGTCATTTTGTCATACAACCTAGAGTGTTAACCCTTTTATTCTTCTTTGTACCTTCCTTGCTATCTTTTCCTTCTTCAAGTGCAACATTTTTTCCTGGCCACCACTGCAGCACAGCACCCTTTTTTGGTGTAGACACCTACCTTGTCCTTACCTAAACTTACCTGCCCCATGTACAAGATACCATATTGAAATGGCTTGGCCCTATGCTAATCTGGTCCTCAGATTTCTGGAACCCTCATCTAGTACCATAACTTTAAAACATTTGTTCTTCATTCAGAATGTATTTAGACTATATGGCAATGCGATATTGTGGACAGAGGGCTTGTCTTAGACCCAGGTAAACATGTCTCTAGGTCCTGCCTATAACACAGACCTGCTGAGTGACTACAGGCAAATCACTTCACTTACCAGAATCTCAGAAAACTCTGTTAGACCATAAGTAAAAAAAGTTGTTAGATATACATTGGTAGAGAAAGTTTCAAAAGGAAATTGCTACTGATAAAATCAGAAGTCTGAATAACACAAAAATCCTCTACCTATATTGACATTTCAAATCAAACATTAGTTGGACAATAGATGTGAATAGAACAAACTCTTTGGGGTGCTAAAGTGAAACAGATTTTTTTTCTCCTTTTGGAGGTAGTACAAAATTGTTTTTTAACCATTGATTAGGTTGTTCTTGAAAACAAAACAAAACTTCTTCCCAAAAGGCTAAATGCAAATACCTGTGGGATATTAGTGAACCTTTTTGTTTGATTGTGAACTTAAAATAGCCCTGAATTTTAGAAGCAGGTTGTGTTGAATTCTATATAATGGGAGCTTGAGGGAAGTCAGAGGGGTTGAATCTGCCTCTCATGTTGGAAGCCAGGGAACTCAGTTTTGTTTGGGACCTAGGGTTAGGTTAAAAAAATCATGGGGTTTAGGTTACCTACATAAAATGTAAGTTTCAAAAAAAAAGTGTCAAAATGCAGAATTGCAAGAACTCAGTTATAGACTCTATTCACAAACTTTTAGAATAGTAAAAAAAGAAAAAGTTAAAAAAAAAATTAAAGACCTGATGGGAGACAGTTTATTTATTAACAGGAATACACATTGAAATGTAATACAGAGAATAATCTGAATATCCTAACAGTTATAGAAAGGAAGCTTTAAAAATATGGGGTTTTTTGTGTCCAGACCTGGGATTTCATAAGAATAGGTGATTTCTATTGTGCAAACTCCCTCCATCAAAGCAAATTGTCTATATTATATATTTGTAGAGAACTGTCTGGGGCAATGGGAAGTCAAATGATTTGTTAATGATTACACAGAATATGTGTCAAAGGCAGTACTTGAACCTAGTTCTTTCTGAATGCAAGGGAAGTCCTCTAATCCTTGCTCTATGCTATTACCCCAAATATATGACTACAACCCCAAAAAAAGAAAAAAGAATAAAAAATACTGGGAAATGCATTTATGGAATTTTTCACACATAAAACACAAGTCAGAACAGTTTCCTCTGAACAGTTTGCACTGACAGCAGCTCTCTATGCCTCTTTAAGGCTTCTGTCTAGTCTGCCATCCTTATTATTTGGACCTTAGATTCCCAACAAACTCTAGATTGGGTTTCAGTGACCCTTGAAAGCACTACAGGTCAACCAAGAGGCTAATTACTTTCATGATGTCCTGTCCTAGATGCCCTCACCAATGATACCCACTTCTGATAGTCTAGATTTTTAGTAATTTTTAGCAATTTCTGAATTGGATTGCTAAATTCCAAGGTCCCATGTATTCCAATGCAAGTGAACATTTAGAAACCTCAAATTAAGATCCTCTTGATCTAGAGAGAATGTATGCACATAAAATCAATAAATTTAATACCAGATATTAAAGAATTGTGTCAAGAAGACAGGTTCCACTATTGTGAACCAAAAAGTAGTTCTCCATCCAAGTAGCCTGTTTTTAAGTCCAAGTTTTGCCAAGTTTTACAAATTATGAGACTAGTCAATTCACTTTCTTTTTCTACACTTCAATTCCTTTACCTATAAAATGAAGGGGGTGTTGATTAAATGGAATTTAGATCTAGAATTTATTCCATTTCTAACATTCAGTGATTCTATGAAATTTAATTTTCCAATTCATCTAACCCTTAAGAATATACTATTCACATTTTAAAGTTGTAATTATAATCTGTATGTGTGTTAATACATGTAAGCAATGCATGCAAATAAATATCTAGTACACAAAAATATACATTTAATATACACTGGGCACTCCCAATGAGAGTATCTTTATAAAATGATAAAAGATAAGGTAACAGATGAATAGGCAGGGGTACTGAATAATAAGGGTGCATCCTAATCCTGAGAAACCACTTTAGGAAATCATGTTTTGAAATATTAATGCTTCTGCTATTCTGGCCTTCACTAAATTAAGTATTTCCATTTCAGGCTAGCTGTGCAATAGTTACATAATAAATGCTAATCTGACCCACATGATGGCCAGAGTCTGACTATATGTAGTTAAACTGGCATCCACAAGAGCACAGTTTCTTAGCCTTATTTATTTTTTAAAAATAAAATTATTAAAATATTTTAATTATTTTTAAATATTTTAATTATTGCATCTTAATGGAAATGGTTTCATTTTAATCCTATAATTTTAAAAATTATTTTATGCCTTTAAAAATCATTGTTTTGGAAAGAGGTCTATAGGGTTTAGCAAACTGCCAAAAGGGTCCACGACACAGGACAAATTCAGAATACTGCCTAGACGATGAATGCTAGTGAGAAGGGAAGAGATAGAACTGCTTGAGTATGTTATTAATTCCCTTGTACTAGAACGTGTTTTAAATAGACTTGTGGAATCTATCATTAGTTTGGACAGTTAACTAATTCTCAGTCCTATTCATTAACTAAAGAACTAAGCCTCCAAGGACTCCTTTTAGAATTATTTTTAGATTTGCATACACTCCTTTTTCTTTGGTGGGGAGAGGACTGATTTTATCAAGATGGGGAGCTACTTATGTGGAAGCTCCCTTTACCAATATGCATCTCCACAAGTCACCTATAACATAGTCTTACAGAACGGTTTAGGCCATTGAGACTTTAAATGACTTATTCATGGTGAAAGTTATATGTGTCAGAGACAAGAATTCAATCCAATTCTTTCTGATTTCAGGTCCTTTTTCATCTACTGTACCATGATGCTTTTCTTACAGTCATGTTTTGTTCTGAAGAAGACCTGTGATCTCATTGGAACAGGGAACTTCCAGTGACGGAATTCCCTCTAAGATTACATATTAGCCTGTGATTTTCAATTTATTGTCTTAGGTAATTGTCTGGAGCACTGAGAAGTTAAGTGACTTGGCCAGGGTCATATAGATACATACATACTACATACATACATACGTGTGTGTGTGTGTGTGTGTGTGTGTGTGTGTCAAAGGCAGGACTGGAACCAAAGTGACTCATAGTCTTGACTCAGAGTCTACCTTTCAAAGCCTTAAACTATAATGCAACACTGTTAAAAAGGTATGGAAGGAAGGAAGGAAGGAAGGAAGGAAGGAAGGAAGGAAGGAAGGAAGGAAGGAAGAAAGGAAGGAAGGAAGGAAGGAAGGAAGGAAGGAAGGAAGGAAGGAAGGAGAGAAAAAGAAAAAGGAAGGAAGGAAGAAGAAAAGAAGAAAGGAAAGAAGAAAGAAAGAAAAATGAGGGAAAGAGGAAGGAAGATACTTCAAGTGTAAAGAGATAAAGGTATTCAAATATACTGCATTCCAGATATGTTGTAGGAATGAGAAGAGAAGGCACAGTTCTCCATTATTAACTAATATAGATCATTCTTCAGCTGGAAAAGGATAAAAGCTTACTCCTCTTAGCTAATGATAAGAGAAAGAAAAGGATGAAGATAATTATTAAATTTAGTCTCTCTACAGTAAACTGTAGTAGAACTGATAAGAGTATATTCGACACTACTGTGCCTTCACCATGAAAAAAGATTTGTTTAGAATATCCTTAGACAGTTGAGTATTTAATAGCCTCAGTCTTTGTTCAGTTAAAATCCCCCTTTCTCTGCTGGCAACAAGAAA